GACTTAGAAATTAAGGTATTGCCTTTGCCCTGCAAATGGCTAGACCTTCGCCGGGTGGTGTGGATGACCACGTAAAATGACGGCTCGTCTCCGGAAGGAGAAACTCGGAATTTTGTGCTGAATGCATTGAGAATCAAATAAAGTTCATTTTTTTCTCGAGTATGTCCATATGTATTTGTATCTGCAAATACCAAGATTTACGACATAAAAGTCTCATGAATTTAACTCCATTATTAACGCAGTAGTCATGATAGATTGCGTGCTGCGTCTTATCAAACCATCGCTTTTATCACTTTTCTAGCTTATGCTTTTAAAATTATTAATTAGTAGATCTCAGCACTTTTTGCGTTGGGCATTTATTTGTAAACTCTTGTTCATTAACTCTTTTAATAATACCTCGTTTAAGCCATTGAATAAATCATCAGAACAAACAATTTACCAAGGTTTATGGATTTTTATGAGACTAAAATCAATGTCAACATTTACAAAATTGAAGGCATTTTAGTATGATGTTATATGCTTTAAAATATGCTGTTATGGGTGTTACAAATGTTCAGTATTACTTATTTTCCCCAGAGTTGCCTGTAGTTTAATCACAAGAAAACATAACGCAAAAAAAAAGTGTACGACATCGGTGAATGAGAAACATAATCTTGAAGTTAGAGAGTTAATTAGAAACTCATGTGAGATTAATTAATACGACCCCATATGTCCCGCACAATATAATTCTCAGAGGATTTTCCTCCATTTTTAACTTGGAAGAAATCCCAAAAAAAGGAAAAACTCTAAAAATCTAATCAATGACTTTTGATTCTAACAAGGTTGAAGGTTTCTTTTCCTTATGGTTAGTCCATTTTTCGTCATTGTTCCTGCACAAGCAGTTGAAATATGAATGGCTTTGCAAAGTTACGTAACATTTTTTTGCTCCTTTGAAAAGGCGCTTAAGATATTTTTGTGGTCCTTGCTTCATACAAGTCTGCGTTTAGTAAACGTGCTTGCGAGGGCTAGGAGTGGAGAGAAGCAAAGAGATCATCTTTTTTGTGCTTACTGTCTTTGAACTTTTATTCGCCATGCATTTTCACGTCATAAAACTTTTTAAGAGAGGATCAAGCTTCAGGGCAAGTGGGGGTCATGAAAAATATTGAGTTCTTGAAAAATAATTGCAAGGAAATCTAATGAAAAAACATGCATTTGGCGATAAAATCTTAGTTTACATTTTTTACCTATTGTTAAGACGCGACATATTGTAAATCGTGCTTCGTTCGAAAAATTTGCCTTTAACTTTGTACATTTTTTTTTGTTTTAAGATTGATGTTGCTATTATGACATGAAAATATAGGAATATCACGCTCTGCAAGGTGAAAAACAGCACGTTAGACGCCGTTACAGCGTGAAAATAGCCGTTTGTTTTCTATGACGTTAAGAAAAATACACTGTAAGACGAATTCCATTTGGAAATTGAGTAACGTTAATTTTCAGTGGACAAAAACCCTGTACCAGAATAATTTTAAACATATTGCATCTCCTTTTACACTTTTCGAGGGCTAAAAATGTAATAAGTTAGATGAAATAACACCTAGAAAAGGTTCTAATGGGAGCCCGAGAAAACAAACTTTAAATGCTTCAAATTTCACAAAATGAACTCTTAACGGCATGAAGATTTTACCGGTGTTAGTTTTCTCAATTCCTGTGAAATTTTAAATTCATTTTCTCGGCTCCCATAAGAAATTGTCGTTGGTGTTATGACAGATAACTAATTATATCTATAGCCCTTACTTGAAAAGGGTAAAAAAGAATGCGATATAGCTTAGATATTATCACTGGTACAAGGTTTTTGTCCATTGAAAATTGACATTACTCACTCGACAGACAAAAAGTATGTCACTGGAAATATTTTTTATATTTAATAACTTCAGCTGCTATTGTTATAAAAGCGAATTATATATGCTCCAAGAGATTGCCAATTGCATTCGATTCTGTTAGTCCATGACTTTATGACATACATAACATACTCGAAATTGTTTCTCAGTGGCTGGAATATAATTCATTTTATACTCGACTGGAAGATGCTTTCTCTCTCACAACGTTAGTCATGTTAAGTATTAAATTAACTAGAACATGTAATTAGTGGAGTGTGAGGCTTCAAGTAATTCAAATTGCTTTTTTTCCTCAAAGTAATTGCGTCTAAACCAGAAGCATATAACCCCGAAGCGTATAACTCTGTCGCAAAGCTCGGGTTTTTTAGGCAGGGCTTCTGATATTTCGCGGAAAAAAAAGCAAAATTTCGCGGGATTTTCAGGGGCAAATTCGCGGAAAAATCGGCCGATTTAACGGGATTTTCGCGGGAGAAAAGTCAAAATTCGCCGGAAAATCGTTCGATTTCGCGGGATTTTAGCGGAAAAAAGTCAAATTTCGAAGGATTTTCAGGGGCAAATTCTTAGAAAAATCGGCCGATTTCACGGGAAATTTCGGGGGGGAACTTCGCCAAGAAACAATCAGTAAAAACAACGGTACCGATTTCGCCCAATGGATTTTTTGGCAAATTTTTAGCAGCTAAAATCACGATCAATTTTGCGTCGATATGACTAGCGTTGTTCAACGTTGTTTTTTGGGCGCATCTTTCACACGCAGACATGTAAAAAGAGCGTTTCAGAGCGTTTTTCTTGTAAATTTATTTTTAATTACTATGAGTACGATATATGAATTACAATCAAAGCAAATCAAACAAAACATTAACAGTAACAACGACAACAAATGGAACAATGACAAATTTAGTAAAACCGTAACAATTCTTCTTTCTGTGGCCCATAGACGATTTTTTGTTTGTTTAAAGACAAATTGGCACATAGATTGCATGTTTTAATTTGCTTCAATTATGTTGGATAAGTTAGATCCAAAACTTAACTGTATGTTTTTCGAAATTTGGATTTGGTTTTCTGTAACAAACCTTTGTGCAAAATTTAGGCCAATAAATGTGAACAATTTCATTTTAAATTGCTGACTTGTGTTTCTTAGCCTTTTAAACATTAGTTCGCTTTTAGCTAGTTCACAGGGTGTAACATTCCGTGTAGTGCTGAACCGTGTGCTGATATGGGGCCTCCTTACGCCAATCAAACGTTTTTCACACACCCTCGTAAATTATTACTTATCTTGTTGTCACTAGTGACAACAAAAAACGCATGTTAGTTGCACAGTTTGTAACCTCGTGGACAAGGCTCATAGGCTCATAGCGGTAACCTCATGATGTTTCGCGTCTATGAGAAAATAGCTGCCCCTAGTTGTCAACTTCTCCAGGGTGGTTAGTACACAAAGACATGACTGTATTCAAAGCGTACCCATAGAACCCGCTTACATGATGAAAAAACCCTATGGCCCCCGAGTCTCTTCGTCTTGGAACTCTTGGAAAGACGAAGACTACCAGGCATTGATTGATATTTTTCTTAGGAAACGTTCCAACCTTGAAAACGGCTAAAACTAAAACGAGGAAATTTGCTCCAGGTTTATCTTTACAAATCTTCAGCTTTCAGTGGAATTCTAGGTACTCTAGATAAGGTGTGATGAAGCATTGTGTTGTAACCGTTTCGCAAAGTACCGTTTCGCAAAGTACCATTTCGCAAAGTACCATTTCGCAAAGTACCGTTTCACAAAGTACCGTTTCGCAAAGTACCATTTCGCAAAGTACCGTTTCGCAAAGTACCATTTCGTTTCGTTTCGTTTCGTTTCGCAAAGTACTGTAAGCCCCTTGTCGACACGTCAAAAATGATTTGTCCGGAACAATTCACTCCTCCGGGCATAAGTTTCGCAGAGCGGCTGCTCTTCAGCCTGTGTCGAAACGTTCTCTACAATAGATGCCGCTAAATTTCCAATAAACAAAAAGAATCTTTTCATTTAAAAAAGCTGACAAATCGCTTGTCCATGGCGGCTTTAGCTACCGTCGAGTACCAATGTTCTGATTTATGTTGATGTTATCTCCAACAAACAGTCCATTTTTGCCAGTCAGATCTGCACGCCGTCATTCTCAATAAATTGGGCTTCCCTAGTCTCCACTGCTCGATCTCCAATTATACTTTGAAGACTCTGATCTCATAAACCTTCGCACAAACACGATTCCAATAAATATCAGTCCAAAGCATTTGTAATCGGCGACCACAAATCAGATGAGACGAGATCTGTGACGCACGAAAACAAAGCATACTTGGTTTGATTGATGTTTTGAATGCTAAGTAATCAACACTACCCGCACCGCGCCAATCAGAAGCTGCGTTCGTGGGCGAACGCAGTTTTTCAAAATCGTGGGGTTTGCGGGCAAGCGGTTCCTTCGTTCCCCTCCCCCTCCCCCGTCATTCATTTTTTTTTTGCTCTTGTCCCAGCTTTATAGACGAAGATCGCGAGGAAACGCTTGCTACGCAGGCTACACATAAGGGGAAGTTAGACTCTTCGGGGTTATATGCTTCTGGTCTAAACTGAACCTGTAGAGTTGACTTGAGGGTGACAAATGTAGAAATTAATTTCATCTATAATACTTTCTCGAAGTCAAAGAGTAAGAACTATGTTCGCGTGATGTAGCTACATCTGTACAATACAGTTTCTCCTAGTTGAATTTTTTGAAGTAACAAAGGATTGAGTTTTACTATTATGTATTATTTTGACGTCGTACCTGATGTAGTCCCATGCGCTTGCATGGGTTTCGCTCCACTGTTTCATCTATGCTCCTTTGAAGTGAATTTTCCGCCAAAGAATTATCTGAAACCCTTCGAGAATTTCTTCCACTCAAGAGACTCAAACGCAGCGACATTTCACTGCTGTCACCAGAAGCATATAACCCCGAAGAGTAAGAACTATGTTCCCGTGATGTAGCTACATCTGTTCAATACAGTTTCTCCTAGTTGAATTTTTTGAAGTAACAAAGGATTGAGTTTTACTATTATGTATTATTTTGACGTCGTACCTGATGTAGTCCCATGCGCTTGCATGGGTTTCGCTCCACTGTTTCATCTATGCTCCTTTGAAGTGAATTTTCCGCCAAAGAATTATCTGAAACTCTTCGAGAATTTCTTCCACTCAAGAGACTCAAACGCAGCGACATTTCACTGCTGTCACCAGAAGCATATAACCCCGAAGAGTCTAACTTCCCCTTATGTGTTAAGAACCAAGCTCGGGTTTTTAAGCCGGCGCAGCCGTCCAATCAGAAGCAGAGAATTCAAGGCTAAAAACTTTGAGCTTGCAACGCTTATACATGTAATTTCTACGGCCGAAAGAAATCTTTTCGTGGCGTAAAAGATAAAGGAAATATGCTTCTATAAAATGCATCCCTGGCAAAACATAAAGAGCCACAAAGTTATAAGCAGTATGGCTTGAAAGCATCGACCAGCGACGAAGTAAGACAAGGATGTTTACGTTTCTTCACAACTTGGCAAAGCCTCTCACCGAAAATAGCAAAATGCATCTGCAGCCTGCAGCTGTTCGACCGACAAAGATCATCCTGAGGCAACTTACATTTTACACATTATGCTCAAGGAAAGTACGTTATTGAAAGGAAATTTATGTATTTATAAATGTTTCATAGACGTTTTATAAATTTGTGATAGAGTTTTCAAGATAAATTGGGAAATGTGCCCGATCTGAGACAGATATTAATTTTGCCATGTGCTCAGCCGATTTTACTTGTGGGAACAGATCCACGATCCAGTCAGTGTTACGTGAATTGCTTTTAATGGTAAACTTATCGGTTTTCGAATAAAAAGTTTCAAGAAACAATTTGTCTGTTTATTGTTTTCTGCTTGTTCATCCATAACATTGGTTGAAAACATGATCGCCGGCATCTAAGTCTTACATGAGGAGACACACAGGGCTTGCACTGTAAGTATCCCGGAGAGCTCCATACAATTCCTTATAATTTTGTTATAAGGAATTGTATGGAGCTTTCTAGGGGACTTTTCTTTATTAGCTTTAGGCGCGGCGGATTTTGTCACGTTTGATCAGCGCGAGGTGTTTTTCCCGACACCCTTCTGTCAGGAAAATGTCATCATATGAAAGCAAACCAGACACGATCGCGTCAGCAGGCTGAAGCCGGCAAAAATAAAAGGCTTTTCTTCTTCCATTTCAGATGTCAGTTTTGTTTCGATCTGGTCAAAATAAATCAGGTTCTTAGGCTGTAGGTAATAAAATATTGTCTTATTCAGTTTTCAAGGACCTTTAGAAAACGAGATAAAAGAGATAATTGACTCGACAATGAAGAAAACGCTTTTTTTGAAAGAAAATATTTTTTAATTCCCGCAGCGATTTTGCGAAATCGCGATGCACAATAGTTCAGTTTCTTCCAAAGCCGTCATGATTAAGCAGTAATGCCATCACAACTAAAAATGAATTTAGTTTGAAAAATTAATAAAATTACCAAAAAACCGGGAGCTTTGTCAAATAAACCGTTGGTACGGGTTTATTTAACCTAACCTGGAAAAGGAGACGCAGAATACATTTCATCCTACATGTAGTTGTGATTTCGGGAACCGACCTCGGGAGCTCATTGCCGTAATATCTTCTACATTGCAGAAACTACAGCAGAATCGCCCTGCTCGCGTGCTAACTTTCCGCTCCAATTATCACTATACAGTACCAGTGAATTGTTTCAAACTTTAAAGCGGCCGAAACTTATTTCCATCAGCGCGTAGTTAGTTAGTTAAGCAATAATAATGCACAGCACTGTAAATAACACGGTTCCAGAATATCTGACGGCTTCGCGTTTTGTTCGTCGCTGCATGCGATTTAATCGCTTATAACCTAACAGAAAATGCATGAATACAAGCTCGCTGTTCAACCCCGCACTGAATTTTAAAAAAGAAGCCTTTCGTATAACGGGAGATTAAGGTGGAACAGCTTGTCTCTGAAGGTGCGGCAATAATGTTTTTAAAGAAAAATTAAAAAACCTTAATTTAGATATATGTATCTTTACACAGGGCCTCAATGGAAAGCAGGTTTTTTATTGTTATATCGATATATTTTTTTAGTTTTTATCTTAGATTCATTTCTAGCTTAGTTACTAGTAGTTATTTTTTTATACTTGAATGTAAATGTACCACAGGTAGCCCAAGCTCACTATGAGAGCCGTGAACAACATTATCCTACTTAGCTAATTAATTATTCATACAGCAAGAAAATTATAAGACGTTGTAAGGAGAAATATTCTTTGCTCACTAAATTAGCAAAATGTACATTGAATATCGCTTTGAAGCTTACCTTTAGCGTCTTCTTGTTTTTCTTTGTATTCTGACAGCATTTCAGACCTCCTAGGCACTGTTTAAGGCCTTTTTTGGAGCGACAGTTTTTCACCCATATGATAGTAGAGAGAAGAGAAGAGAAGGTTGGCAAACCTCTCTTGACCGGCTCCGCTCTCGGAGGCGATAAATTCCGTGACATTTGCGACATGGAGACAATTCCGCCAGAAACAGATGTCCTGATAAATAACGCACAATTTCCATCATTCACATCGCCAAAATTCCCATTTCGAAGGTCCTAAATCGCCAACGAAGTGGGCAATACACGGTTGAGGTGAGACGAGTCGAGAGCAGACCCGCAACGGACTCCAACCGTCACGTCGACAATTCAAACCGACGCGGGCTGGCAGGGTCAAATTGTTCAACCGTCAAAGGACAATTGGAGCATTTAGCCTACTGGGCACAGTAACTGATTTTTCACTTCTCACATTGCACATTGGTCGCGGAAGTCAAGCATCGCGTGTGATACTGACATGTAATATCAAGACATGTCGCGTTGTTAATGTTTTGATCTCTACTCTTCTTTTTAAAAAGCGTTTGACAATGTTTTTTATGTATGATTTAGAAAAAAATTTTGCAATAAGAATTACTACGGCTGTAAACAGTTGTTAGCTATTTTTCCTCCCTTTTTCAACAAATGGCAGTAAGTAGCAAGTTTGGGGACAGGATCTTCCGGCAGGTGCTCTTATCTATTGTGAGTGTTTTTACGGAAAGGAAATATGTAAATAAATATTTCTTTGAATTTTCTCTTGGTATATAATTCTGCCACATTAGCTACACCAATTTCAAGATCAAATTATACATCAGCTGCTTACAGCCCAAGCAAACTATTTCTGAAATATGAATTCCAAATGTAGTAGCTATTGTTGTTTTGATTGGATTTCTTGACGCTACTATTAATCATGGCAGAAAACATTAACATTAACAACGCGACATGTTTTGATATTACATGTCACTATCACACGCGATGCTTGACTTGCGCGACCCCGGAGTGCAATGTGAGAAGTGAAAAATCAGTTACTGTGCCTAGTTAGCCTGCGTAGCACGGCGGTTTTGTCGAGCCGGGCGCAGGAGCGGCGTAGCCGCGAGAAAAATAAAAACCGCCTGCCTGGATTCGTGGCCTTTTCAACTGCCGCCCCCTTCAACGCATTCTGACATCCTGTTGACAACTTGTTTGGTTTCAGTTTTCCCAGCCAATCAGAAATAAAGTGTTGACAGCGTAAACACGACACAAAAGCTCGTGATATAGTGTAAAACGTGACCTTGGCCGGAATTGGAGTTTGCTTGAACAAACACAGGTTTTTTCTTTGTGACTATCTCGCGCATAGGTGACTACACTGCGTTCTAAACTTGACTGAATAGATCTTATTTTTGCTGCACTAAGTCTTACATTTATTTAGAGGTCGTGAAATATTTTAGTTTCTTTGATCTTTTCCGACTAAAATGCCTGGATCTGGACAACTACAAACCAAGGAGCCTTGGTTTGTAGCTTCTTTGTCCGTGAATGTTTTGACGCTGAGCCCGGCTTTTTAAGTGTTGTTTGCAGGATGTTGTATTTTTACGTATAACGCGATCTTCAGGTTTGAGTTGTAGCTTAAACTTAAGCTACACCAAGCAAAAAAGTATGGAGAATTACGTTGCGCCTTTTTCTTCTACTGTATGCGATTCATCGACCACAATCGCGGACACCGTTCGATGTATTGCGCTGGAGTGCGTTATTCTCTAACACCGAGTAATAGAGAAAATTGAGGTGAACTTTCTCAAAGCACTGAAATTTACTGTTTCTGTCATAAGATCCATTGCTGTACAGCTCAGCGACAACATTTCAGATATCTGGTCGTCGATAGTACTTTTTAGAGGGGAAATTGTGATCATACAGGTTTTCGATGAGGATATTTCTTCTTTGGCCATAGCAAAGACAGTAAAGATCATGCTCTTGCCAAATCTTGTTGACAAAATTTCCATGACATCTCTCCTTTGAAGAAGACCGTAAATGGCCATTTCCTGTTTAGGCTTCAATACAATTGCCCTGTTTTCCCGTCAAATATTCAAGATCGACGACGCTCCGGTCTGCGCTTCTTTGATATTTTGATTTTGTTTTGCGTAGATGATTTGTTCAGTCCCTCGAAACTCTCCCATGGGAGATTACCAAAATATTTGATTGACAGGCGAACATTCCGAACCAATCGGAACGATCCGTACGCTTGCGTACGGACCGACTCAAAAAAGACCCCCGTCCGTGCAGGCGGTTTTTCAAGTTGCTCCCACCCCAATCTCCTCGCGGTTTCTCTGCCCTAGCCCGCCTTTATTACTTAGCGCGCCCAACCAAAACCGCCATGCTACGCAGGCTAGTGCCTAGTAGGCTAAATGCTCCAATTGTCCTTTGACGGTTGAACAATTTGACCCTGCCAGCCCGCGTCGGTTTGAATTGTCGACGTGACGGTTGGAGTCCGTTGCGGGTCTGCTCTCGACTTAGCCTGTTCCAGGCGTTCAGATAGTGGGGAGCGGTGCGAAGTAAAAAGGAGCGCGAAAAAATAA